AGTGGCCTGCTGGTCTCCTGGTCTCAGTGGCCTCCTGGTCTCAGTGGTCTGCTGGCCTAGTGCTCTGTTGGCCTCAGGTCTCCTGGCCTCAAGGGCCCCCTGGTCTTGAAGGTCTGCATGTCCTGCCCAGCCTGCCAGGCTTCCTGGTGTCTGCTCAGGTCTCCACGTGGCCTGCAGAGCCGCAGCCCCCTCTGCGCTGCCCCTCAGGCTCTCAGACCTCCTTGTGGCACAGCTGTGCAGGGAACAGCCCCCCAGGGGCAGCTCTTCCCAACTCCCAGGCGGATCCTCAGTCGGCACCTCCGCCTCTCGCTGTGTCTGCTCTGGACCGGCCCATCCCCAGGGGGTGACCATGTCTGCCGTGGTCTTTGTGGTGTGAGTGACAGTTGGACACTAGCCCCTTCCTGTGCTCAGCCACTCCCAAGCTCCTGGGGAAGAGATGGGGCAGGGTCACAGGCCCTGACCAGGTTGGGTCCATGTTGCTGGGTGCTTGTCTGGGCCCCTGAATCCCAGCCATGGGGATGTCCCGTGTCCCACATAGGGCCATGCAGTGGCCTCAGCTGCACTTGTCCTGCAGAGGCGTGCTGGCCCCCTACGCCATCCCCTCGGAGCTCCTGCTGGTGGAGGAGATCCCACGGAACCAGATGGGCAAGGTCAACAAGAAGGACCTGCTCGGGCAGTTCTACCCGTCGTGAGCACAGGAGGCAGCGGTGGGAGCTGGAGGACAAGAGGTGGCCCACGAGTTCCTGCTCCCCTGCCCCACGCCCACGGCCACCCCAGGCTCCCCAGTCCTCTGTGTCCTTGCCCCACAAGGTACAGCCTCGCGGTCCTAGCCCGCCCCCCCCCCCCGGGCTGCTGGCCCTCTCCAGGGCAGGTCCCAGGAGGGTCCCGAGGTGCCCTAAGAGAAGAGGTGACGTGAGATGAACACCCGCCCGTGCTGTGTCACCACCTGCACCCAGCGCCTCCCCAGAGCCACCCAGCCGCCCAGTGCTTCCGGGTGGAGACAGCGTGCCCTGGGCCCCGGGCAGCCTCGCGCAGCTCTGGGACAGCCCGTCACGGCCGCCAGCCGAGGCACTCCTACCACGCAACTCCTGCCACCGTGGGGCCTGCTGTGTGCCAGGTGGGAATTCATTCCTGAGGCCACAAGCGACCATTCCGATGACGCTGCTCCTGCTCGGCCTCCCTGGCCCCGCTGTCTCCTCCATCGCCTTCTCCTTCCCAGCCCCACTGCTCCGCGTGCCCGTCCCCGTGGGCAGCACTGAGCCCTGGGAGCTCCTGGCGCAGGCCCTGCTCGCACCCACCACACCTGCTCTCCCAACCTGGGGCTGCTGGCAGAGGGTCAGTGCCCCTGCCCACCCTGGCCGTCGGCGGGCAGCCTGCTGCCATGGAGTCGCACCAGGAGCAGGCGACGGGAGCAGGCTGCAGTTTACATTGTCACAGGAAGCGGCTCGGGCTGGGCTGGGCTCGGTGGCAGAGCACTTGCCTGTCATGTGAGAGGCACTGGGTTCCATCCTCAGCACCACGTGAAAAATAAATAGAAAAATAAGGGTATTGTGTCCATCTACAACTAAAAATTATTTTTTTAAAAAAGGGAAGTGGCTCTGACCCAGCCAGAGACCCAGGGCATTTGGGGAGCTGCTGGAGGAGTGGGCCCTGGACGGTGGCTGGGGGCAGCAGCAGGACCTAGAGCCAGGCCACAGCGCCTCCTGTGCCCAGGGCCCCATGCAGACTGTGGGGCCACCCTGTCCTTCCCCTCCCGCATTAGCACCTGCAGGTGGGCTTCAGGCCACTTAGGAGACTGTGCTGCTGCCTCCTGGGAGCAGGGACAGGCGCCAGCAGCTCAGGGTGGCCTGTGGGCCAGGTATCAGACCCAGTGCCCAGGAGGCCTCCGCCTGCCTCTGCACAGGGACACAGAGGTTCCTTGGGTCGGAGCCTTGCACAGGCCACCAGGAGCCAGGAGCCCTGCACCCCCGGAGTCCTGGTTGGGACCTGAGAGCATCAACCCACTTGGGCCGGCATCATCTGACCCTCCTCCCCAGAGTGGACGTGTTACAGACTTGTCCAGCCCAGACCTCCTAACTCTCAGACCCCAGCCCCACAGGCCGCCTGGGGTTGAGGTTTCCACCTGCTGCCCTAGCTTCTGGCCAGCACCAGGGAGCAGGACCATTCCAGGTATGGGGGCCAGCCGGGCACAGCTCCTCGGAAGCAGCAGGTGGGCAGGAGGCTGGGCAGCCAGCCTGGCAACGCTGTGTCCTGGGCCATAACAGGTTCTGGAGACAGCAGCCCAGTGTGTTGGGAAGACGTCCTGGGGCCACCGGGCAAACCTCAGGTGGCCCCGCCACAGCTAGGTGGCCTTGCAGAGAGCATGGCCGACCAGGCCCAGTGCAGGCCATCTCTTTGAGTCTTGCACAGACGCCTGGTGTGCACGTCCACCCCTCCCTCCTGGTCTGCTCTCTCCCCCACCCACAGGCTGACCTCTGCTGGGCCCGGTCTCCTTCCTGGGCGCTGCGTCCCTGGCTGGGCTGGGAAGCGCTCCGTCACCTTCGTCATCATGGTCCTTGGGTGCTGTCATGCAGCTCTCGGTGCCCCTTCTAGAACCTTCCCAGCCAGAGCAGACTACCTCATCCTGCCCTGGACCCTGGCCCTGGACACTGGCCTGGGTGGGCTTTGGGTCAGTGCCCCCTCACCAGCCATGGGGCAGGTCAGAGCAGCCTCATCCCATGGGGTGGAGCAATCACGCTATTGCCACAGGAGCCACAGCATGGCACGGTGTCAGCTGGCCAAGGAGGCCAGCACCAGATGGCCACGCTTACACTCAGCTCCTCATGGGGGTGGGGGACACAGGAGGGGTGGGAGCAGCAGGGTAGGAGAAGAGGTCCATAAAACACTGGGTCGACCCCACGTCTTTTCCAAGAAGCAGCTGACCTGCAGCCCTGCCTGGCCTCAGTGGACAGGACGTGTCACAGTCCTCAGCAAACCACCTGTTCCCTGCAGGAGAAATGCAGGCCTAGGGTCATGTCCATGGGAGGAGCCCAAGTTACCCTGAGGGGAGACTTCTGTGAGCAGATCCTGAACTCTGAGAGATAGGGTAGTTCCTCCTAGCCACGAAATCCAAGCACATATGGTCACGACTCCAATTAGGACCAGTCGGCATGCGCCAAGGGGACCTAGAGTGGTCATGGCAGTGGGGCTTAAAAGTCTGATCTGTCAGTCAAAAGTCAAGAGGTGGACCCTGGTGGGACTCTCTGGAAATGTCTGGGATCCCCAATAAAACTGGAGTGCAGGAGAGGCACGCTGTCTCCTCTCCTTTCTGAGAGGACCCCTCTCTCCCTTGAGAGTGTCCCCTTCCCCTTTTCTATCCTTTCAATAAACCCATTGCTATTACTCTGAGTGACGTGTCTGAAACCTCTCTGACTTGATTGCAAGAATGGGGGTTTGAAGAGGGGGTCCTCACGCTGCCTCGGTCCCTCGGAAGGCCCCAGCTCCGTAACCATAGGGATAGCCAGCCACAGAGCCCCTCCCGCTCTGTCCCCTGACACAGCTGTTGGTAAGCCCAGGAGCACTGAGGGACAGCCACAGGTAGTGCAGGGCCCTCCTCACACTGGCAGGGCAGGCTGCGTCCACCAGAGGGCGAGGGTTCCCTGGGCCACGCATGCCCCCCGAGCTCTGGGCCCTGCCAGGGTGAGCAGTGGGTTCCTTGTGTTCTGCACAGACCTCACGGACACCCTGCAGTACCTCCTGTGGGGGCCTCACACCTCCATGGAATGGCCTTGGTGTGTTTTGCAGATGAGACGGCTGAGATGAGTCAGTGAGTGACAGTCCCTGTCTGTCACAGGGCCTGGAAGAGAAGGGCTAGGGTGGAAGCCATGCCGCGTGGGGCCAGGGCCCTTCACCTTGGCTGAGACTGGGAACCGGTGGCCTCCTGCGAACAGGGAAACCGAGCCAAGGCAGCACCCTCGTGGGGGCTGGGGCAGTGGTCAGGTGTCCTGGGAGGGAGGGGCATCCGGCACAGGAGGAGGGGAGCGGAGCAGGCAGGAGTGCTGAGGACCACCTGCTGGAGCCTGCAGGCGGTCAGGACTGAGCCCTGCCCAGGGGTCTCAGGAGGAAGGACTCTCCCCTGCCTCAACTAGCAGCTCCACTGGCCAGGCCCGGGTACCCTAGGCGAGCTGACGGCTTGCTGCCCTGTCTCCCTACAGGGGCTGACAGTGGCTTTGGGACATAGCTGAGGGGCAGGCTGCTCCTGGTGTGGCCTCCCACCCTGGTGCTGGTGCCCCCGCCCTCTCTCTAGCATGTGATGCAGCCTCTCGGCATGGCCCGGCCGCCCTGGGCCCCAGGCACCAGGCGGTGACCCCTCGTTCACCTTGGGCCTGTCTGCACACTGCCCCTTTGGCAGTGCCCACCTCAGTCTCGCTCCTCCGCAGGGCCCTCCTGGACCTGTGAGAGAGAGCAGTGGTAGTGAGAGCCAGATCAGTGCCCACGACGTCCTGTGTGTCCCTGCTCCTCCTGACAAGGCCTTTCTCAGAAGTCCTGGACACCCCGGCCCAGCGGGACAGTCACACAGACAGGCGCACACACACCTGTATGTGCAGACACAGGCGCTCCACAGACCTGACACTTAGGGTCCCCAAATCCACCTTCCCTGGCCGGCTGTCCTGGGGCCCAGCACCCTGGTGGGTAGAGCAGGGCCCTCAAGCTCCAGAGGCCAGAGCTGGCACCAGCTGGGAGCAGGTCGTTCCTAGTGGGCAGGCAAGCTCCAGGGCACCTCCGCTGTGCACGGGGCTGTGTCGACCGTGCACTGAAGAGGGAAGCAGCTGATACGGGGCAAGGGTCCTGTGATGAAAGCTCTTAAACACCATGGGCACAAGAGAACAGTGGCCACCCCGTGGCCCCAAGTGCATCTTCAGCAGGTGAAATCCAGCAGAGTTAGTGCCCAGGCTCCTCCCAGCCCCCAGGATCGGGGCTCGCCACACAGGCCTGTGGGGGATGAATCCAGATGATGCTGGCTTTCCTGACGGCCGGGAGCAGGCGCTGGTCACAGTGGCTGTAGGGCAGAGGTCTCAGCAGAGCCCTCCCTTACCCTCCTTGCTGTCACCAGAGGGGCTGAGAATGAAGGACAGAGGTGGAACACGGGGGCGTGGGGGACACAGCAAGAGGCTGGGGTGGAGGAGAGGGGCAGACACCCACACGGGGCACAATGGCCCCCTCCCTGGGCACAGCTGGCTCAGACCTGTGGCTTACTGGGCAGCGGGGGCAGCCCTCTCCTGTAGGGCTGGGCTTGCAGGCCTGTAGCCGTCCATCCCCCCACCTGCCTTTTGGGAGTTGGCCCAACAAGCCCAGCCCCAGGATTTATAAGGTAGCCCTGGCCCATCTTGGAGAGCATCCTGGTGACCTGTCTTCTCTGCCCACCCACCCCCTCATATCCTGTCCCTATGGCTAGCCCCACCCACTGGACTTCAGAGCTGGGACACTCCTCACTGCCCATCTGGTCTGGCCTACCCCTCACCCCAGCTGCCATGGCACATCCAGGCCAGGGGAGGAGCTGGCTGGCTACAGAGCTGATGCGCAGGTGAGGCAGGTGGGCCATCCACCTGCGGCCCTGGAAGGGAGATGTGTGTCTCCACATCTGGAGAGGCATTTCCAGGGCCAGTGTCCTAAGATGGGGGCAGCAGCAGGAAAGAGCTCTTGACCCCTGCCCAGCTCAGCCCTCAAGTTCTGGCACGCCTCCCAAACCAGGGACACCTCTGCTGACATCCCTGGAGCCACACTGCCCTCGGCTGCTGGGAGTGGGTGCAGCAGCTGCTAGACCTGCTCTCTCAAGGGTCCTCCTGGCTGAGCTCCCACCGCAGCCACCTTGGTCAGGAGTGTGGGTATGATCTGGAGGTCACTATCAGCTAGGACATCCAGGAAACCAGGTGGGCTCTTAGGGATGGACCTGGGCCAGACCCACCATCCCCACGAAGAGGGCAGGTGAGGCTAGTGTCCGGCCATCCGGCAAGACCCCCGCAGCAGTCAGAGGCTTGGAGACCAGGCACTGCCTGGCAGGAGGACTGCAGCCCCAGGGCCCCCTCTGACCAACCCCCTGTAGCAGCAGGGCTGAATGCCAGGCTCCAGGCCCAGGCCATCCCCATCCTTAGGCCCACAGTGGCCTGTCAGGGCTGCCAACACCATGGGAAAGCTCTCTTGCCCTCTGTGTCCATCTGCCTGTCCATGTATTTTGAACACTCAGTACTCTTAAACCGACTTGGCAAATGATTCTGATTTTGTGTTTTTGGGGGGATCGTGGGTTTTGAACAAGAACAGAGCCCCCACCCTCCCTGGTGGGCATTGCTCTGACCCTCCTGCACTGTGTCCTGTGGCCAGGAGAGGGCGGGCAGTGCCAATGCTAGGACAGTGTCACCACCAGTCCCAGGTCTACCCCCACCCACTCCTGTGTCCTGGGGCCAGGCCAGGGCTCAGGCACTGCGGTCACTGGGCCACCCCACTCTTCCTGATCAGCCTCTCCTCCACTCCTGCCCCAGCCCCGCTGGCTGAACCCTGGCCGCGAGGGCCTCCCAGTAAAACGGAGCTTAGCGCAGGGCTGTTCCTGCCCCTTGGGATGAGCCTCCCGCCCGGCGTCGCCTGCTGTGAAGCTGCGTGTCTAACTCTGCGCCCTCACGGTGTCCGTCCCTCGGTTCTAAAGCAGGGCAGCAGCGCTTCCGTGAGGGAGCCGCCGCGGCCCCATTTGGTCCTGGGGAAGTGGGAAACCTGCACCACGACCCGAGCCCCAGGTTGGCCCGGGCATGTCTGGCTGTCCTCTGGGCCTCTCGGGGTCCGGCTGGCCTCGGCCGCGCTCTTTCCCTGCGCAGGGGCACCTCTTTAGCCCGAGGGCCAGCGGGCGCCCCACTCTGCCTTGGGGAATGACACAGGAAGAGGGGTAGCGGAGGCCGAGTGGGAGGCCCGGAGGCCGTGTGGGAGGCCCGATCGCCAGGGCCGAGGAGCGCGCGGACCGTGCCCCGACCGGCGGCTAGAGCAGGCGCGCAGCCTGGCTGACCTACAGCCCAGGTCGGGCGGAGGAGGGAGGGCCCACCCCCCCCCCAAGCCCCGCCCCACCCGTCGCCCCCGCCCTCACGCCCCGCCCCGCCCCGCCGACCCCGCCCTCAAGCCCCGCCCCACTTACCCTGCCGTCCCCTGGCTGCGGTTGGAGTGGGGGCCGTGGTGGGGAGGCTGCAGAGATAAGAAAAGGGAGGGGGCTGCCCAGCGTGGGGGTCAGAGCTGTAGTCAGGACGTGGAAGGAGGGCTGCATGTCCCCAAGACCGCCGGGAAGACGACTCTTCTGGGGTTGACCGTCCCCACGGCCTGAAGTGGAGTCGGCAGAAAGGACCTCTACGCTGCAGCCCAGCACACCTCTTCCCGCTGCTTGGGTCCACAAGAGCCCCCCTGGGCCTGAGAAAAGAGCTGCCCAAGGCCCCAGCTGGGCTTGCTGCCTGGTCTCCTGTCTCGGCTTCCCACGAGGGCCAGACTCCTGAAAGGATTCAGGGGCCTCCGCCTCGCTGGTCTGTGTACAGCTCGGGGACCCCTACTCCAATGGCTGAGCCCCTGACTCTGAGCCCCTCCTTGCACCAGGGGCTCAGCCAGGACCTGTCCCTGAGAGCCCCCTCCCAAGGAAGGGCTTCGCCTGTTTGTCTCGCCTCTCTCTGGGAGCTCAAAAGCAAGACCGAGGACCAGTGGAAAGTGGGGAGGGACTCTCAGAGCGTGGTCAAGCCTCTTTCTGGGTGGGCACTCCCTTCTGCCTATCCCAGAAACTCAAAGTTTTCAGCTTTGCCCCCGTCTCTGGGGCCCCTAATCTCAGAGGCAAGGTCCCCAAGGGGCTCCTCCCCCACCCCCATTCAGCGAACTCCCTACCTTCCTCCCTCTTATTTGGAAGAGATGAATGCCAAGGACAGTGCCGGCTGTGCCTGCTGGCCTCCCCCAGGTGGCCAGTCCTCCTCCAATAGGCCAGGGCACAGATGGTGCTCACCTGCACAATCACCAGATCTGTGAGCAGCCCCCGCTCTCCATGATGTCACTCCTGTGCGGGGGCCCTCCTGCACAGACGTCGAGGGACACACACTCCCAGGTCCAGAGGACAGCAGCTCTGAGCCATAACAAGAGCTGCCACACTGCACAGGAGGAGACGAGAGGACAGAGGGCTTCTGGCTGAGGTGGGGAGGGTCTCCCTAGGAGCAGGCAATATGGGAGCTGGGCCCTGAGGGCCTAGTGGGAGTTCTGTGGGCAGAGCAGAGGAGGGTCTTCCTGGCAGTGAGCTTCACGGGCCCCAGGGCCTGGAGGAGCAAGTCGGCAGGAGCAGGGCCAGCAAGGAAGATGCTGCCCTGAGTTGACAGGTGTCATTAAAGACTGGGACTGGGGAGTTCCAGGGGAGGGAGGGAGGGAGGAAAAGCCAGTCCTGGAGCCTGCTGGCATCCAGGGCAGCTGGGGCAGGACACCAAGAAAGGACCTCCGTGCTGCAGCCCAACACACCTCTTCCCCCTGCTTGGGTCCACAAGAGCCCCCCTGGGCCTGAGAGGATGTGAGGATCTCCTGGGCAGATGCCTGGGAGGCCTCTCCAGCCTGAATAGACCCTTTATTCTCTCTGCCCGCTCATAGCCCAGGTGGTGCCAGGTCCTGGGGGCCTCAATAAGGCAACCCTAAGTCAACTACAAGTCCCTCCTGCTGCACACTGGAGTAGCCCAGGTGACCCTGCCCTGCCGTCCCTGAGCTTTAGACCCTCACCTGTGTGTGGAGCTGTGATTTCTCCAGCCCCTCCAGGCCACCACGCCCCTTCCTCCACCCAGAAACAGTGGGATCTGCCACCCTTGCCCTCCAGGGTGCAGAGCAGAGCTGGGGCAACTTGGGACCCCACTGACCACAAGGACTGGAGGGGAGGATGCACAGGCCAGCTGAGGAACAGTGAGGACCATTAGTGCCTCACAGTGTGCCAAGCATGTGCACCACGCAGGAAGCCTGGTGCCGAAGGAGACTGCCCACGGGGGTGCAGACAGGTCCGGGGAGCCAGCCAAGGACAGCTGAGTGGAGGCTGGGCAGCTCGAGCTGCAATTAGGGCGTCTCTGCAGCTCTGTGGGGTGAGACCTGGACTGAGCAGTCGTCTGCACCACAGGCCCTGTCCCTCTGCAGCCTCCCTCCCACTCCATCCAAGCCTTTCGTGGGATAGCGCCTCTGCCTGAAATGAGCTCCAAGGTGCCTCCCCAGGGGGCCTTTCCTGACCAGTGCTGAGGTCCCTGCCATTGGACCAAAACCCTGAAGGCAAGGATCAGCAAAGGAAGCCTTGGGGATGGTGGAGGAAGGAGCCTTGCAGGCAGGGGGAACAGGCAGGAGCATCCTGGTGACTAAGTGCAGGAAATGAAGACGGCTTGAGCCCAACCCCAGCCTTCCCGACAGGCTTCCTTCTCCTTCCACTCATTTTTTTAAACATATTTATTTATTTATTTATTTTTTAGTTATCGGCAGACACAACATCTCTGTTTGTATGTGGTGCTGAGGATCGAACCCGGGCCGCACGCATGCCAGACGAGCGTGCTACCACTTGAGCCACATCCCCAGCCGCTCTCCTTCCACTCTTGAGTCCTTTCCAGACAGCTGTCAGAACCCCTGCCTCTCTGGAGCTCAGGCCCCCACATGTCATTCAGGCCCTGGCTTCGCCCTTTCCGCCGCCAGGCCCCGCCCACGACCCGCACGGTCACTTAGGCCCCGCCCCTCTCCCTCCAGGCCCCGCCCCACCACACACGTGCTGTCACTCAGGTCCTGCCCTGCCCTCTTCCTGCCTGGCCCCGCCCCACTGCACACGTGCTGCCCCTCGGCCGGCCGCCCGAGCACTTGCGCTGTCACTCAGCCGGGCCGCGCTCTTCGGTCTGGAGCCGGAGGCGCCACCCCGGCCGCCGCCGAGCCGGACACTTTTGCCTTGGTAGCTTCTGGCTGGCCCCGATGGACGCCACGTTCCTCCTTGCCCTCGGGCTGCTGACCCAGGTAAGGCGGCCCACGGCAGGGACCCTCCTCCCCAGCGTGCGGTGCAGTTTCTCTCCAGGACCACTGGCCCTGGCCATCCTCTAGGGACTGAGAGCTGCCGGCTGGGGGTGGGTGCCCAGGTGGGTGGCACTCTGCAAGGCCCTGCGGGAGGTGGGATAACCCTAGCCAGGGGTTCCCAGAGGGAGTGCAACCTGCCTCCCTTGGAAAAAGAGTGGACTGGCCAGTACTGGGGAACCAAGCTGAAGGGCAGGTGCAGACCACCTATCGGCCCTTCCCTTTGGAGGTGCAGGGCAGAGACTCCTCCAACCTGCCCCCTTGTCGGGGTGGCCGTGGCCAATCTTCTGGGAGCAGCAGGAGTCCCAGTCAGGTGTTGGTGGGGACTGAACCCCCCACCCCCATAACCCTGGCCAGCATCTGCAGGCTCTGTGCTCCAAACTCTGGCCTGGACATTACCTCTCCTGCAGGAGTGCCTGGGCCAGGGAGCTGGGTCCTAACACAGCCTGTCCACATGCTGTGTCCCACCATGGGACAGCTGGAATGCCTGCTGTCTCCCTGGAGACTCTGCAGCTGCTGGAGTGGATCAGGCCTGAGGGCCACAAACTTCTGTCCACCCATGGTACCTTGGTCTCCCCAACTTGGGCACAGGACAGGTGGCAGGCACACAGGCCTCCGGCCCGCTCTCCCCACTCTGGCCATTCCCTCCACTGGGTCACCTCTTTCGTGTTCTAGGTTGCTAGTGGCGCTGGGCTGAGCCTAGAGCGAGGATATGGCTTCGGTGGCCCCTGCCAGAGCCCAGGGCCCAGCATGATTGGGACCTGGCTGTGGACAGTCTCTGCCTCTTAGATGTGAAGGGTGTGAACACAAAGGGCCAGCACTGCTCACCATCAGTCACTGGGGTTGCTCTAGGGTGGTCCCGGGTGCTGGACATGGTGAGGAGAGTAGGTCCCTTCACAGCAGGGGTTTCCTGGCTCCCTCAAATTCCCATAAGCCTTGCAGTTTGGCTGGCCAGCTCAGGTTTCAGACCCTGACAGCTGACCAGGTGCCTGGCCAGTCAGCCCCTCCAGCAGCTGCTCCACAGGCACTAGCCTCTCAGCCCCAGCCCCCTCCCCGCTGCGGGCCCTCACACCTCACTGCGTGGAGACAGCAGCCCAGCACAGCCTGGCTGCCTAGACCTCACCCTCCAGCCTCTGTCCAGCCCTAGGCATGGACACCCTGCCCCGCGGCAGGCCTGGAGGCCTGCACACCCTGGAGTCTCCTCACAGACAGCTTCCTGCTCAGTGCCCACACCCCACTTGCTGTAGGGGAAAATCTCTGCTGGCACCCAAGGATGGAGCTGGCTCGGAGGACCCTGGGGGTCCAGCGCCTTTGGGTTTGGGTATCAGCCTTTCCAAGGCCCCAGGCCCCAGGGGAGAGGCTGGGCTGGATTCCGCTTCCCACTCCAGAGGCCTCGCCCCAGGCTCCTGCTGCAAACCCCCTGCTCAGGAGCGGGAGGCCCCCACGTAGGTCCGGGTAGGGAACCAGTCAGTGGGGGCTAGGCCTCCTGAGCTTCCTGCAGGGCAGTGGGCAGCGTGGCTCACCAGCTCTTGTTGAAGGGCTGGGGACCCTGTCCCTCCTTCCCCAGCTGGTCAGCTCCAGCCCTTTGCCCACCTGGTCCAGCCATCTGGTCCTGGGGCCAGGACCCTGTCCCTCCTTCCCCAGCTCTGCGAGCCCCAGGCTGGCCGGTCCTGACCCGCAGGGCTGTCTCCGGTGGGTCCCAGCTCTCTCCGCACAGAACCCCTCTAGAACCTGAACTCTGAGCCCCAGGGGACAGCAGGGGGCTGGACTGTGTGTTCACACTGGCCCTTGTCGGCCCTGCCCGCTGCATGCTGTCCCTAGCGACTAGTCCTGCACCTGGGACCCTACCCTGCTGGGGGAGGACAGGGAATGGGGACAAGCTGCCCGGGACGCCCTGCCTGAGTCTGGGCATGGGGCCCCGGGGTTGTTAGAGTGACAGGCCCCCCACAGCAGGCCTGGTGCTCCCCAGGGCAGGCAGGCCTGCTCAGCAGCCCCCTACCACTGGCCTGTCCACCCAGCTCCACATGGCGCCCAAGGCAGGCGGCTCTGTGGTGTGGGCCCTGCAGGGTCTGTGCTGCCGGGGGCAGGGCCGTGCTGATGGGAGAGAGCAGCTGCCAGCCCTGTCACCCCTCCTCACCCTCCTCTGAAGCCTGCAGCAGCTGGAGAGGTGGGGCCCGCAGGGGAGAGGCTGGGGCCACCCTGGCCGGGCCAACAGCTGGGCCATTCCTGACATGCTGGCCCTCCAGGAACAGGATGGCCATGGATTCCAGCCTGGAGGGAGGAGCTCGGCCCGAGAAGCTTGTGGGGAGGCAGGACCAGGGTTCCTGTCGCCTTTCCCAAGCCCACCCACCCGTGCCCACGCTAGGGCATTCAGCTGTGCAGGGTGGGATGGCTGGGCTGCCCCTCCTCGGCTCCGCCAGCGCACACTGAGGAGACAGCCAGACATACCAGGCAGCGTCCAGCCAGCCCAGGCCCTGTCCTCCCTTCCTGTCCACCACTGGACCCCTGACAGTGGCTTACAGGAGCCCAAGAGGCCACTGGCTCTGTCTACTCTGCTGAGAGGGAGGGGCATCTGGCTTTCTCTTTTCTCACTGTAGGTCCTACTCCCCAGTGCCCAGCACCTCTGTCCAGGCTCAGGGCCTGGCTGGGCTGGACACACTCCCCTCAGGTCACCAGGAATTGCTGGTGTCCCTGCCTCTCAGCAGAGTTGCCTGGCCAGAGCAGACACTTGGCACATGGCAGGAGCTTGGTCATTTTTGGCTCTTTGAGGTCCAGGGACGGACCCCAGTAGGGAGTTGACCCAGCAGCTAGGACTGGGGCAGTGGTCCTGGTGTTCCCAGGGCTTCCACACTGTCCAGGGCTCTTTGCTAAGAACAAGGTCAGAGCTTGGGGGTATCGTGGGCACCTACTTGGGAAGGGGTCCCTGATGTCTGTTGATCTGGTTTGGCATGGGGAACAGAGGAGTGGGCAGCAGTCCAGGAGCACACGTCCACACAATGTCCCTTTTGTCCCCTGCCCCAGGTGTGGGGTCTCTGTGAGCTGGCTGTGTCCATGTGGCTTTGTCCTGGGCACCAGATATGCTGAGCTGCCCGGGCGGTGCCCAGGCCTTGCCTTCAGCCAGCCACGTCTTGTGGGGGCAGGGCAGGGAGTAAGCCACTCGAATGCCCCTGGGAGCGGGCGTTGGCTGCCCACTGGTCACCCACCCACACCCATCGTGGCTTCTGATCTGAGCCAGCGGCCCTGCCAGGGCTCTGTGGTTCTGTTGACCTTGTGAACTTGGGCTGGGGACAGGCTGGGGACCCAGAACTCTGGGTCCAGCCTCTGACTTGACCATACCTGGCCAGGGCAAGTCTGTGGGCATTCAGCAAGGCAGCTGGCGGGCTGGGGCACCAGCCCAGGTTTGGCAGCCCAGGCAGGGCCGAGTGTGCACAGACCTTGAGCCCCTCGGTCACCAGGTTCCTGCTGAGTGTGCCCCTCTGAACCAAGGGGGTCAGACTTATGGAGCTGACGTGGGTGGTCACCTGCTTTATGGGGGTCGTGAGGACCAAGGCGGACAAAGGAGAGGAGGGCCCACTCTAGGTCCCAGCACTAAACTGGTCCAGGGGGGCTCTGGAACAGCCTGTGCCATCGAGGCTGTGACTGAGACCCCCATGCCGGGCAGGCAGGTTTGCGCTTGGCAGGAATGTGGCCCTGACCTGGAAGTGGCTTGTGCTTGGCCAGCTTTGGCAGGCTCAGAGGCCAGCACTGCCATCTGTCAGCCTCAGAGTGCCTCTGGGGCGGGAGAGTGGCCGACAGGCCTCAGGCCTGAGCACCCTGGCCTGTCCCCGCCAGCCTGCCGTCTACGAAGAGGGTCCACTCCTCTCTGGACTCCCAGGGGCAATGGGTGCAAGGACCAGAGCACTGGCAGCTCTACTGCCCCGAAAGGGCCTTGGAGGAGGGGCCTGAGGTCCTGCCCGTGGGGGCTCAGGCCTCTAGGGAGGCTGCTTCTGTTGGGATATTGCTGCCACGTGTCGCTCTGCAAGCACAGGGCAGAGGCAAGGGCTGCCGAGAGCGGGATGGAGCCCCTGGCACTGGGTGGGGACAGGTTGCCGCCGGGGTGGGCGCAGGAGGCACAGTTAGGCCTGGCTCTGCAGGGTCACCTGCAGTTAGGTCACAGTTAGGTCACCTGGCTCTGCAGCTTCTCCCTCCTGACCTGGCCCTAAGGCAGCCCCCAGGCACTGACGTGGTGCTGTCCTCCTGAGGCCTCACCCTGTGTCCCAGCCCCCACAGACTGCAGTCCTTTGTGAGGGGAAGCCAGGGTGCCAGGCGTCCACCCCACCCAGGGGATGGCAGCAGGGAGCCACTGGCCCCTGTTGTTAGGAGGGAGTGCTGGGCACGGTGGTCCTGCAGGGAGGAGAGTGACCTTGGTTTGGCCCACTCTGCCCCATGCTCCCCGCGCCACAGAGGGAAGGGGGAGCAGGTCACCTGTGAGTCCTCACCAGGGCTGCTGACGCCTGTCACACACGGCAGGAACCTCCCTGGGTGCGGGCCCAGTTGGAACTCCATCTTGGCTGTGGCTGGGCACAAAGTGGAAGGGCCTAGGAGGTCCCTGCCCTCTGCCACCCCAGGAAGGGCGTTGGGGCGGGCACCCCTCCTGCACTGGTGGGGGCAGAGAGCCATGTTGGCAGTAGCCTGGGCCTCCTCCCACCCAGGGAGGCCCCAGGCTCCTGCAGACAAGGGCCGAGGCTGGGGAGAGCAGGTGTGGACCCCAGGCCTCAGCCACCTCGCTGAGGCTGGGCATGCGAGCGCTGGGCACCTGTCCTGGTGCAGCCGCTTCTGCTGAAGAGAGTGGAAACCACAGCACCCGCTGGCACCGTGCCCCAGCCCAGGGCTTCATGGCCCTGCACAGCTGTGGTCGTGGGACGCTCACACCCAGGAAGTTCCAGCATCAGGGAAAGTGCTACTGGACTGGGAGGGACGAGCAGAGGAGAAGGCCCAGACCCGCAGGCAGGGAGGCTGGCAGCGGGTGACCCCTGCGTGCCCCTGCCCTGCTGAGTGCTCGGGGAGGACAGTGCCAAACCCAGCCAGCCCCCACCTGGCCAAGCCCCTCTGCACCCACCCACCCTCCCTGCCCCTCAGAGCTGTGGGAGGATGGGAGGGCCATGTCACCCCCCTGACCCCTGCCTCTGACGGCCAACCGTGTGGGAGGGTGCCCGGCCCACCCTGCCATCCAAGCTCCATGCCCACGGGGTTCCTGGGGAGGCTGAGTTCTAGTGCTGGGTCTGCAGCCCACCCACTGCCGCTCCTCCCCCTTCTCTCCCAGCCACGTGCTCCTGGGGGCAGCTCCATCTTGGCTATGGCTGGGCACAAAGTGGAAGGGCCCAGGAGGGCCCTTCCTGGGCCCCACTGAGCCCTCTCCACCCCAGGGGCACCTGAGTCTGCTCTGGGCGCAGTGGGGTCCCTCATGCCCCCACCCTCCTACCAACCACCTACCAGGAAACAACCCCCAGGGGCCTGGGGCCACCATGAATGTGGCCCAGATTCCTGGGGGTGGGGGCTCAGCACTTGGGGGTGTGCCTGCTGGGGCCCCCCACCTGTGCCCTCCAGGGATGCAGCCAGGTGGTGTGGAAGCCACCATGGGGCCAGCTCCCACCAAGAGCCTCCCACTTGACCATGGCTTGTCTTGGTTGCAGAGCCTTGGCCTGTCCCAAGGGGTAGCTGGTCTGCAGCCCCGCACCCTGTACCCCTGGCGCCCCGCATCTGCGCTGGGCCGCGTCCGGAGAGCCTGGGTGATCCCGCCCATCAGTGTGTCGGAGAATCACAGACGGCTCCCGTACCCCCTGGTGCAGGTGAGGATAGAGCCCTGGAGGAGACTGGCTCATCCTGGTGGGTCCTGGAGGTGTGTGCACCCAGTGTCCCCGTTCCCGAAAGGTGTCCTGCTGATAGGGCCCAGCAGGCAGTGGGAGAGGGCTCGGGAAGGCCCTCCTCTCTCATCCAGGCTGGAAGAGTGGCCTTCGCTCACCAGGCCCCAGGAGTCCCAGAGACCGGGTCCCCAAAGACACTCAGGGGCTGTGCCCAGGACAGGGCTCAGTCAGGACTGTGGGCCATGCCCAGCTGCCCTCCCAGCCCATCCTCTCTCCCGTGGGGGGATCCTGGGGGCTTGGGGGCAGTCCCCGCCGGCCTCTCCCAGCCTCTCCTGCCTGCAGATCAAGTCGGACAAGCAGCAGCCGGGCAGTGTCATCTACAGCATCCAGGGGCCTGGCGTGGACGAGGAGCCCCGCGGCGTCTTCTCCATCGACAAGTTCACTGGACGGGTGTTCCTCAACGCCATGCTGGACAGGGAGGAGACTGACCGCTTCAGGGTGGGGCCTGCCCCTCAGCCTCTGCCCAGGCTCAGGCTCCAGTCTGGCAGGGCCGAGGCTGGCTGGATCCTGAGCTCTTTGGTTGGGGACGTAGTCCTGCAGCCTGAGGTGTTCCCACTTCACAGAGGGGTGTGCCCAGGGCCTGTGGGGTGCTGGGTGGGCCTCCAGAGGGTGGACAGCCAGTTTGCCCAAGCCTTGTTCCATTTGGCGAGGTGCACATGTTCAAGAACCCCAGAGAGTCAGCCCCCGCAGCGGTGACTGTTCTTGGGGATGGGATTGGCCAGGGGCCACCCCTGCAGAGGAAGGTGAGGAGCCTCCTTCAGGTGGGCCGGCGGCCGGCAGGTGAGCCCAGGACCACACTCAGCTTCCTGCAGACGGCGGCTTGCCACCCCTGCACCCCGACAACACCCTGCGGGGCTGTCAGGGGAAGGGCTTCCAGCCACTTTCCTCCTGGACGCGCTAGATCCTTCTCCAGATGTGAGAACTAGCTTGGCTTCCCACCCAGGAGGTCGTGGGAGAGTACTTGTTATCTGGGGGGACAGGGCCTCTCTCTGTTGCCCTTCTGGCCTCAAGTGCTTCCCCTCCTTGGCCCCCAAGGAGCTGGGAGAGGTGCCTGCCACGGGCCAGCCTGGAGAGTCCTCCTAACCTGGGAATCACAGCATGCCCTTCTCCAAAGGACGAGAGGCAGTGGCACACGCGTATGCGGGGGAATTGGAAGTCATTTCAGGAGGAGAGGACCTGGAGAGGGGGGGCTGGGAAGCCTGGTGGGGCCCTGCTCCGGGCACACGGGGGCAGCTGTGGCTTCCTGGAGTCGGGCAAGAGGGGAGGCGGATGGTGGGGACGGCAAGCTCCCTCAGGGGACACTCACTGGCTGCAGCACGTGCCTCGCCTGCGTGGCCTCACTGCTCCGGAGGGTGCCAGGCTGCATGGCCCGAGGCCTGCAGCGCCAGCCCTGCCCTCTGTTTGGACAGCTAAGGGCTTTTGCCCTGGACCTGGGAGGATCTACCTTGGAGGACCCCACAGACCTGGAGATCGTGGTTGTGGATCAGAATGACAACCGGCCGGTCTTCCTGCAGGAGGCGTTCACAGGTCACGTGCTGGAGGGCGCCGCCCCAGGTGAGGCCGGCCAGGTCCCCGACAGCCACCGGCGGAGAGGCCTTCAGGAGGCCCTAAGTGCAGGGTCTCCTTTAGCTGGCATCTCAGGCCTGTGCCTGGTGTGCACCAGGCCCTGGGCTCAGGCCCAGCACTGCCTAAAAGGGACCTCTAAGGGTCGGTTCAGCCCGGGTAGCCTACTGCCCATGTGCCCAGAGGCTCCCCAGCATGGCCAGACCCCAGGGGAGCCTCCTGCCTGCAGGAAGTTGGAGGTGCTGATTGGCGTCAGCCCACGTTGATTCTGTTTCACACCATTTTTTGCTTTTCAAGATTCAAAGTGACAACTTTTTGCTTTTTTTGAATTCTGGAACAATCTCACACCTGCAGGAGAGTTTCAGGGAATCCCTGTGCACACATCACAAGGACGTGCAAAGCGTTTCAGCTTCTTCCTCTTTCTGCCCTCCGTGTCCTGAGCTGCCCAGCAGACCTGGCACCGGGCATTTCTGCACGCGTCAGTGTGCGATCAGTAATAACGCTCGCGGCAAAACCAAGATCAGAACCCAATATTCTCCATATAATATCTGCTCTACAGCCTTCATTAGGTGCCCCTTCCCCGGGGATCACTTTTTCTCCTGAGGCACTGAACCTGGGTGCTCACCACCGAATCTCACTCCCAACCCCCTGAGCCAGGGTCTCCCAAGGTGCCAGCCTGGCCTCAGACTTTTGTCCTCATGCCGGGATCACAGGTGTGACCACCATGCCCTGCAAAATAATGACCTTCCTGACAAGAGGGTGCTGGGTCACGTCTGTGCCCCGGATGGCCCTGGGCCCTGGCTTCCTTCCTCTCCGTGCTCTGCACCTGTGTGCGGGCCACCCTGCCCCCACCAGGCCCTGCAGAGAAGGGCCACCAGAGCTGCCTGCCAGCCTCAGCCTGGTGGTCACCTGCGGACACTGAGGCAGTTGCTGGGTGGGGTCCTGGGTGAGCCTGGGCCTCCCAGGCCGTGGCCTCAGCTCAGACCCCTCAGTGACTGACCAAGGGCCTCAGCATGCAGGGCCTCCGGGCGCTTCCCAGGGTGCTGCGCGAGGTCCCCACGCCCCGCTGTCTGTCAGTGGGTGCCCTCGCCTGTGTGCGTGGTGGTCTCACCCTTCCTGTGTGCTCAGGGAGACCCCACTGGCAGCAGGGCCAAGACCCTGCATCTGGGGCTCCTGGGACCCTGGCCGTGCCCTGTCCTGGGAACCCGTCAAGTGCAGCTCTGTTCCCTTTGTCTTTTTCTTCGTTGTTCCTTTTTTTGGGTTATTTTGGTTTGGTTTTTTGATTGTTTTTGTTCCAGGGTCTGAACCGGGGCGCTCTACCACTGAGCCACATCCTCAGCCCTTTCTATTTTGAGACAGAGTCTCACTGAGTTGCTTAGGGTCTTGCTAAATTGCTGAGGCTGGCCTTGAACTTGAGATCCTCCTACCTCAGCCTCCCCCATCACAGGCGTGCGCACCCCACCTGGCAAGTTCAGCTCTTTTCTTCCCTGTGTCTTTGTGGCTGTCTTGCTCCTGTTCTATGGAAAGAGGAGGATCAATGTACCCCAGATGCCCTGGGGGTGAGTTGCAGGGTGGGCTTGGGTCCCCAGGCCCTTAACCCCAGCAGCAGGCAGCTCAGGGTCTGCTTCTGCAGGACCCACCAGCAAGCTCCACCCTGGAGTCCAGGGCCCATCCTCTTAATGGGAGCAGATTCTCAGCCTCTAGTTCCTCTAGACACTGGCGTCTTGGAGCACGGGGTCGGGTGGTGATGTGACCTGGGCCCTGTGTTCCTGAGGGGTGTCCTTGTGGCTATTTGGGGCACAGATCTACCTGTCACTGGGTGCAGGTGTGTGCCAGTTCTTCTCTGTGTGGAGCCTGTGTGACTCCCAGCTCCGTCCTCCACTGGAGGCCCCTGAACCTGGGGTGGTGGGGAGGGTGGTTTGGACTCCCCTCCCACTTGGCAGGCGGCTCCCCGCCATCTGGGCGCTCCCTCCAGGTGTGTCCAGCTTCCCACGTTGCTTCTGTGGCCCGAGGAGCCCTTGTTCTGCACACCCCTCCCCCAGCACTGGTGTCCAGATGTGGTCAGTGGCCATCGAGCCACTTGCTGTCTGGGCCTCTCTAACAGTTGTGGCTGGGAAACATGCCTGTCTGTAACACACGCCGACGGGTGTGAGGCCATGTGTGTGCAGAGCACACACAACACGCCAGCTCCCAGTGGCCCCGCTGCTTCCAAACACAGGGTCCTTCTAGACCCTTGGCCGTTGTCCTCATGTCCTGATGGGAGAAACCTGGCTCCGCGGTCCATGATGTGTCCACCCACTGGCTGGCTGGAGAGCACACAGGCCTTCCAGGATGCCAGCCTGTGCTCCAAGACACCTGCCCAGTGCTGTCCATGGCTTCACCAGCGTTTACCTGGTCAGGAGCTCTGTATGCTCAGGTGCTGGCCCCTCCTGGGCTGGATGGTGGCTGACATCTGCCACCGTGCATTGAACACGTGGATCTTGAGACACGCACAGCAAAGATTTGCTGGCTGAGCTGCCCCAGGGTGTGTGGAAGCCTGTCCTTGTCACTCTGCCTCCCTGGCTTAAGGCTCAGACACCTGAGCTGCAGGGAACTGTGGGTAAATCAGGAAGCAGGGCCCTGCCTCGGGCCACGGTCTGTCCGCAGCACCTCAGGCCCTGGCGAGCTAGTGCCCCAGGGCTCGTCAGTGCTGGCTCTGCTCGGCACCCCTGTACCCACGTCTCCCTGGGGCTGGGCTCCCCAGGGTGCTGCTCTCACCTGGCACCTGAGCCTCTGCGACCACCCTGCCCACCGCTCCTTCAGTGGTGGAGTTCACAAGTCCAGGTGGGCTACAGGGCCAGCGGGAGCATCCCGGATGTGAGGGCTCGTGTGCGCCGTCAGCCTCAGCGGGCAAGTTCTAGGCCTGATCTGTGGCCAGCCGTCGGCCCAGACCCCCACGACAGCCCTGGGGGCGTCCGCCCATGCCTTCCTGTCCTCCCCAGGCACCTACGTGACCAGGGCTGAGGCCACGGATGCCGACGACCCCGACACGGACAACGCCGCGCTCCGGTACTCCATCCTGGAGCAGGGCAGCCCTGGGCTCTTCAGCATTGATGAGCACACGGGCGAGATCCGCACCGTGCAAGTGGGGCTGGACCGTGAGGTGAGGTGGCCGGGCCTCTGCTCTAGCCCACCCCCAGCTGCCCCCTCTGCTTCCTTCCAGCAGAGGAAGGGAGCTGCCCAGACCCTGTTTGGAGGACTCCTGTGGGTGCCTCCTGGGGTGAGGACCCCTGCAGTGTGCTCTGTGCTCCCACGCAGCAGGGTTCCAGCACAGTGCGGCCCCACCGTGCCGAGGGCTCCCTGCTCGTCCCTCACTCTGACTGACAGCTTCTGTCCATCCTTCCTCTGTGGGACCCTGCTGCCCTGGCAGCCAGGCTTCTGGCCTGGGACCCATTCATTAGTGCCCCTCTGTGCCCAGTGGGTCCAACACCAGAGCTGACCCCTTGTCCACTCACAGGCTAGGGCAGAGGTCAAGGCCGATGATGTTGCTGAACCCCATGTGCTGGGGGTACCCAGAGCCAGCTGGGACTTCTGACACCACCAGGTCCCTGCACAGGCTGAACCTGTAGGCAGCCTGGCCCCCGCCCCTTCCCGTCCCTCTGGTAGCCCGCCAGATCTTCTAGCCCATGTCACATCCTCAGGTGGTGGCCGTGTACAACCTGACGCTGCAGGTGGCCGACATGTCTGGAGAGGGCCTCACCGCCACGGCCTCCGCCATCATCTCCCTGGACGATGTCAATGACAACGCTCCCGAGTTCACCAGGGATCAGGTGCTGCCCCTGCCCCATTGGCCCTGGTGTGGGTCGGCGAGGGGATGGAGGCTGGCCTGCCTCTCAGGAGGGTCCTGAGCCAGGAGCCCGGACCAAGTGTGAGGGTCCACCAGGACAGGCGCTGCAAGTGGGAGAGGGCCCAAGGAGAAGTGGCCATGTGTGACCGTGGCTCAAGCAAGGAGCGTCTCCTGGGGGAGCAGCCAGCCCTGTCCTTTGGGGGAAGGTGGCACACATGGATAGTCACTCTGGAAACAACCCAGGACACATGGTGCTGGTGGCAGAGCAGGCTTGAGGGAGGAAGGGGGTCCCCAGGGAGGTGGCATGGCCTGGCCAGCCATGGGTAACCAGCTGGTCCCCCTAGTTGTCCATGGAGGCTGCAGAGGCCATCAGTGGAGTGGATGTAGGACGCCTCGAGGTGGAAGACAGGGACCTACCTGGCTCCCCCAACTGGGTGGCCAGGTTCACCATCCTGGAAGGGGACCCGGAAGGACAGTTCACCATTCGCACTGATCCCAAGACCAACGAGGGCGTGCTGTCAGTGGTGAAGGTGAGAGGCCCTGGTCATGTGCACACCTTGCCCTGGCAGAGCTGTGGACCACGCACCCTGCATGCCCCCATCCTGAGCTCTCCTGGGCTCCTACCTGCAGCTGTCTGCTGACCTCCTGGGGTCTCGCATGCGTCCTTGGGTGAGAGCAGTGGAGGGCAGAGCATGCAGGGTCCAGGACACCCTGACCACGGGGCAGCAGGGCCAGAGGGAGCTGCCAGTTGTCCTGTCTCCGTGCTTGTGATCCATGTATGTGTGCTGCCTGTGTCAGTCCCAGTTCTCCCAGGCAAGCAGAGTCAGCAGGAGCCACACAGAAACACGCGTGCACGTGCACACATGTATGTGGACAGGCACATCTCAACGTTGATGCAGTAGAGAACTTTCTGTGAGACTGGGGCTGTAGCTCTGTGGTGGAGCATATGCAGGCCCCTGGGTTCAATCAGAGGAAGGAGAAAGAAACTGCTTTGCAAGAAACTGACTTGTGCATTTGGGGCTACTGGAAACTCACTCAGGAAGCACAATTTCTTTGTCCTCAGAGACAAAACGCTTTGCTCTCAAGGCCTCACCTACATAGGGAGGGCCCACCATGAGCCAGGATGGTTTCTCTGCTTAGCATCAGCTGATCGCACCCACCAGGTGCCTGCACAGAGAAGTCTGCTTGGCCTTGGGCGGCTGTGCTCTGCTCTGACTCACAAGACGGACACACCACCCCCAACAAGTTCATTTTGAGTGATGGGTGCTCATTTTGTTATGTTTGTATTATCCTTTGAGGCTTTTACTCCTGCATAGTTTTGACCTGTCAAGGTTAAAAGGGGATGAAGGGGACCCATGCTCTTGGGACAGGCCCAAGGAGTGCCCCCCAGGAGCCCTGTTAGGTGCCTGGACTTGCACCCAGAGTGGGTGGCCTCTGCCTCCTTCCACAGCCCCTGGACCACGAGAGCCGTGAGCACTATGAGCTCATGGTGACGGTGCAGAACGAGGCCCCACTGCAGGCAGCTGCCCCCCGGGCTCAGCGGGGCCAGGCCAGGGTCAGCGTGAGGGTGCAGGATACTAATGAGGCCCCTGTGTTCCCGGAGAGCCCACTGCGGACCAGCCTGGCTGAGGGGGCACCCCCAGGAACCCCTGTGGCCCTCTTCTCTGCCAGAGACCCTGACACACAGCAGCTGCAAAGAATCAGGTGGGCCTCCTGGGTCTTTGGGGACAAGGTGTGAATGCGCTGCCCTGTGAGGGTGCCCTGGCTCTGAGGGTCAGAGGCGGAAAGATTGTCTGTGTGCATTCCATGGGGTCTGGGGTCCTGCTGTGCTGTGTCCCCTGGGGCAGGGCAGGGCTCTAGGTGTCCCTGTGGACATGGCCACAGACCTCTGAATGTCCACTCTGTCTGTGCTGGTGGGCCCTAGCTCCTACAGGCCTGGTCGGGAGTGTTTTCATTTCACCCCCTGCTGACCTGGCCCAGTGTGCTTGTCTGCCACCACGGGCTTCTGTACACACCTGGCACTGACCAGGACTGAGTTCAGGCTGTCGCTCCAGGCCCTGGGCAGCTGCTGGCCTTCTCTGAGCTTCAGCTTCCTCATCTGGCTGGGGCAGAAACACCCCTCGGGCTGTGGAAGGGACTCTGCACCGAGGCCCCCAGAGTGCTGTTGTGGGTGCATATGCATGGCCTGGGGGTGTGTGTGTGTGCAACATGAGAGGTGCATGTGTGCATGGCTGTGTCGTCGGGTCTGCAGTGTATGTCTGCGTGCCCCCGTTCCAGGATGTCCTGGTAGGTTCCACTCCTCTCCCACCCACAGCTATTCCAAGGACTATGATCCTGAGGATTGGCTGCAGGTGGACAGAGCCACAGGCAAGGTCCAGACCCAGCGCGTGCTGAGCCCCGCCTCCCCCTTCCTCAAGGACGGCTGGTACCGGGCCATCGTCCTGGCCCTGGATGACGGTGAGTGGGACCCTGTGCCCGGCTTCAGGGCTCTCTGGCCTGGCTGGGCCTCTCTCCTCCCAGGGCTCCACCCAAAGCGTGGGTGGTGGGCTGGGGCAGGGCACCCAGCCTACTGCCGCCATGCCTGCAGGCTCTCCACCCAGCACCGGCACCGGCACCCTGTCCATCGAGATTGTGGAGGTCAACGACCATGCACCTGTGCTGGCCCCTCCAGCGCCCAGCAGCCTGTGCAGTGCGCCGGACCAGGGGCCTGGCCTCCTCTTGGGTGCCACAGATGAGGACCTGCCCCCACACGGGGCGCCTTTCCTTTTCCAGCTGAGCCCCAGGTTCCCAGAGCTCAGCCGGAACTGGAGTCTCAGCCAGGTTAACGGTGAGTCCCCTAGCTAGGGCCTGGGACCTGGTGGTGCATGGAGGGCATGCGCCACTGGCCACATCTTCAGGCTTCTCATGCCCAGTGGGCGGACGGGAAACCGAGGCCTAGGGATTCGGATGCTGTTTGGACGTAGGGCGGCCCTAGGGTCTCTGCTGACAGAGTGGCCCTCTCCAGTGAGCCACACGCGCCTGCGGCCACGGCACCAGATCCCTGAGGGCCCGCACCGCCTCAGCCTGCTGCTCCGGGACTCTGGGCAGCCGCCCCAGGAGCGCGAGCAGCCACTGAACGTGACCGTGTGCCGCTGTGGGCCCGACGGCGCCTGCCTGCCGGGGGCCGCTGCGCTGCGGGCCGGGGGCGCGGGCGTCAGCCTGGGCGCGCTGGTCATCGTGCTGGCCAGCGCCATCCTGCTGCTACGTGAGTGCCCCGCCCACGCGGGCCCGCCCCTCCCCTCCCCTAGATCCGCATGTGGGCCCCGCCCCTCCCCCCCTCGGGTGGCCTTCCCCTCTCCCACCCAGCCCCGACGTCACCTCCCTCCGCTCGCCCCAGTGCTGGTCCTGCTCGCGGCGATCCGCTCGCGGTTCCAGCAGCCGCCGCGGGATAAGGGTCCGCTGCGCGGGCTACAGGACGACCTTCGCGACAACATCCTCAACTACGACGAGCAGGGAGGCGGGGAGGAGGACCAGGTCAGTGGAGCAAAGGTGGTGGCTCAGAAACGCTGAGCCCCGGCCAGGGGCTCCCCCAGGAACGGGGCCACGGGCCCTTCCCAGCCGCGGGACAGCACCCAGAGCCGCCCGGTGCCTCCCTAATCGCACCTCCTGTGCTCCCAGGATGCCTACGACATAAGCCAGCTGCGCCACCCTACAGAACTGCCGGCTCTGAGCGTCCCCTCAGGACGGCCACCCCTGCGCCGTGATGCTCCCTTTGGCCACGTGCCTCGCCAGCCACACCGCGTGCTCCCCACCAGCCCTGCTGACATGGCCAGCTTCATCAGCGATGTAGGTGGCCCTGGGGAGTGTGGAGGTCAGAGGGGGAACTGTGCATGCCCACACGCACACCCTTGAGTGAGCACACATGCACAGGTACATACGTGTGAGCTCACGGGCCTTTCAGTCTCCACACTGTGTGTCCACCTGGGATATTAGCCTCTGGGCTGCAGGTGATCAGAGAGGACTCACTGGTGGGACCCTGGACATGCTTTGGGGAAGCCTGAGCTGCAGCAGGGCCTGCAGGCTGGGTGGGCACTTTCCAAGCTTAGCATTGGGGGTGGAGTGTGGTGTCAGTATCTATGTGACAAAGGGAGATTGGCCATCTACTGGCCGAGACTTGGACCCAGGTGGCCCTTGGCCTCCATCTATGAAGCTCCTTGTGTGGGTTAAGAGGCTGGACTTTCCCTGGCTCACTACAGTGGTGGGTTGGGGTGGGTGGGTATCAGTATCCCTGGGCCTGCTTTAATGGTCAGCTGAGACATCACAGTAGCCATTTGGATACTCCCAAGCCAACATGCAAGATGCCCAGAACATGCAAAGCCACGGGGGCCATGCAGGGAGACGTCCACTATTTGCTGTCATGCAAAGCCCCAGCAAACTCAGTCACCCTGCAGCAGCAGGCACAGTGCTGGTGCTGTTAGAGGAGTGACTCCCTGCCAGGTGGTGGCAGCTGCTCGTGGAGCAGGGCTGGCTCCTTCCACCTGACCGCCTGAGGACTGCCCTCTCAACCCTGCTGTGCCCTGGGGCTCTGCTACTGCAGACCTCCCCTGGCTGCGACAGGAGTGTGGCAGGCTCCCCGCTGGCCTCTGCCGTCCTAAGCTCTGTGGGCCTTTCTGCAGGGCCTGGAGGCGGCGGACACTGACCCCAGCGTGCCACCCTATGACACGGCTCTCATATACGACTACGAGGGGGACGGCTCTGTGGCAGGAACGCTCAGCTCCATCCTGTCCAGCCATGGTGACGAGGACCAGGACTATGACTATCTCAGGGACTGGGGCCCCCGCTTTGCCCGCCTGGCAGACATGTATGGGCACCCATGAGAACCAAGGCCAGGAGTGGAATGCGCTGTTTGGACGTGGCCACCTGACAGGGAGGGGGCCTTCTGGGGGCACCTGCACCCAGAGACCACAGTGTAACCTAAGGGCCTGACAGGCAGCCCGTTCATAGCCAAGGCGACCTCTCCAGGACCACTTCCTCTGGCCTTTCTCCCAAGGCAGGATGAGTGTGAGGGGACGGCACTTGGAGTCTGGAGTGAGTGGCAGGAGGTGGCACCCTCCTGCTGGAGTTGGGGAGCTGCTTCCCATCCTTGCTGGGGTCACCCCACCTTTGCCCCCCTGGAGGCCATCTCCTCTGTATGGAAGCAAGAGCCTCGTGGTGAATCAGAGTTAAAGTCTTGCTAGTTTCTCCCGTGCTCTGTCAGTGCCCGCACCACAATACCCACGAGGGCACCAGGGTCCCTGTCCCCAAGAACAGGGCTCTGCCAGGCAGGCTGTGCCTGGCAGGAAGCCACAGCCTGGGGCAGGGGGGGTGGGAGGCCTGACCTGCTCTGGCCGTCCTGGTGAGGCCAGAGTGTGTGCCATGTGGGACAAGGCACCAGGCCAGCCCTGCCCACCTGGTGGATGCCACACTCCATAGCTGCCTCTGTCCTGCCCATCTGGTGGCATGGCCACGGAAGAGATGGAAGCCAGCCCCCCAGACCCAGGGGCCCGTCCAGGACCCCTTCCTGCTGTGTCCACCGCCTCCCTGCCCACACTGACTGGCGGTCTTGGTGGGATGTGTCTGCCTCGCTGTGGCAGCTCTGGTCAGCCCTTGGGGGTGTTCAGCTGTGGCCCTTGTCCTGGCTCACAGGGGCCCCCCAGCAACAGTAGTGGGGCTGGGCGGTGTGGCTGCTCATCCCGAGTGGGAGGGCAGCAGCAGAGGCAGGTGGTCCTGAGGTGGACACCCACGCAGGAGCGGGGAGCCGTGTAGGTGGTCAGCATCTTCCAGTGACTGGGGCAGCTCCCGGCCATGGGTCTCGGGCAGCAGCAGGACACAGAGCAGGATGAGGATGGCCAGGGAGGTGAAGACCACGTCTTGTAGGAAGAAGCTGTGCCGGCCACGGATGTCAGTGAGCGGGGCAGCAGCCCGGCCCAGGAACCCGGCCCCCCTGTGGGAGACAGCATGCGGGGTGCAGCTGGGTCCCCAGTGTGCTGTGGTTCCAACCACTCCCATGGGCAGGGAGTGGTGTGGCCCTCTCAGAGCCTGAGGTGTGGCTCCAGGAAAGCAGATGTGACCAACTGTTCTCTTCTGCCCTGATGTCTGCCACCCTGGAAGGCACCCCACACCTCCTTCCTAAGCTGTGCCTAAGTCCTCCTGTGGATGGCCCCGGTCATCCAGGAGGGCAGCGCTCAATGGCCCTATTCAGGTGCAGGATGGTGGGGGCACAGGCCTCTGTCCAGCTGACCCTTCCACGTTGCTGGCCAGCTCTGCACTCACCTGATCACGGTGGGGAAGGCCTCAGCTGCAAAGAGAACACTGAGCACCAACACAGCCTGGGAGGCCAGGAGCCCCAGGACAGAAAGGGACAGTGTGGTCCAGCCTGGCAGGTCTGGGGACAAAGGGCAAGGTCCTCAGGGGCTCTCCCCCAGGCCTTCTCACCCGACTCCTCAGGGCCCCTCCGTCCCCAATGCCCCCCCACACACACACACTGGGGCATATGGGTGTCCAGTCCCTCACGCCCTCCTGTGCAGACAGCTTGGATTCTAGAGAGTCTGGCCAGAAACACAGCTCAGGGACTGTCCACCTGTAGCCTCTCTGCTCATGCTACTTCCTTTGCAATTTGAGAACTGTCCCCAAAGTCTGAACTACTTCCTTTCTGTGCTAGATTAGATGGCCCTGTGGAGATGATTCTCCCATGCCAGCCCAAACCGGCCCTGGCTGCTCGATGCTGGCAGAGCCTACTAGGCCTGACCTCTGAACTTTCACCTACACTGTGTCGGGCACAGGTGGCCAGGCCCAGGCAGGACAGCAGTAGTTGGCTGTCAAGAGGGATCTTCTTGGTCCCTTAACTTTTTCAGGCCTTGATTTCCCCTGGTATACGTGGGGGATGGAGGGAACAGGAAGGTAGGAGCTGTGCCTCTCCCCTTGGGCACCACGAGCAGGACAGACCTTGGCCCACACCCAGGGACCCCTGTGTGGCCTGCTTGGGCCCCAAGCTCACACTGAGCCCCAGCGAGGAGTAGCAGGGATGCCAGGCGTGCAGCCACGGTGCCCAGCAGCAGGACAGGGCGACGTCCACAGCGATCTGCCGTCAGGAACAGCAGGAGGGTGGCTGCAGCCTCCAGGCCAGCTTCCAGGAAACAGGGCAGGTAGAAGGCGGGCTCGCCTGGGGCCAGGCGGCGGAGGAAGCCGGCCCTGATGCCCCCACCGATCAGCCTGGAAGGAAGCAGAGCTGTATCCACCAAACACCCTCCCCTGGGGTGGCTGCAAACCCTGGCCCACCCCGGGCCTTCTCCTCCTCACGAACTAAATCCCAGGATGAGCCCGTTCCTCCAGGTGACACGGGTGTGCAGGAGGCCCAGGATGGAGTGGTCCTGGGGCTGCGGGTTGCCTGCAGACAGCGCGGCTAGCTCTGGACCAGGGAGAGGAGGGAGCAGGTGAGAGGGGCAGGGGGCCTCCCAGGCCCTCCCTCCTCTAGCCCCTGCCTCGCCACTCCCTGGCTAGTGCGTTACCTGTAGCCAGGGAGTTCTCCTCTGAGGAGCTGTCATCAGGGTCCAGGCCGCTGGCTTCTGCAAAGTGCCACAGAATCCTGCCTGCTTGGGTCACCTGCCCCGCGGCCAGAAGCCAGCAGGGAGACTCAGGGAACAGAGCTGGGAACCTGCAGGGTTGTCAAGGAGGCCTGTGGCCTGCTCACCTCTTCCATGATGGAGCAGCAAAGCCAGTGCCCTCCCTGGACCGAAAGGGGTTGGGACATGGATGTGGCTTCCTGTCACCCTGTGCTGTGGCCAAGTAGCAGGTGTAGAATAGAAGTACAGAGAAGGTATCTACTGGCCCCCAGGGCGGCCCCTGCCCGACCCCTGTAGTACTCACCCCCAAAAGAGCAGCAAGAATCCAGTCACCAGGGCGTTCAGGCCCTGCAGAAGGCGCCAGTCCTGCACCAGCATGGCCAGCCCAGGCAGCAGCAGGGGGCCCACCACTGAGAAGAGGCCAGCTCCCATGGAGAAGGCCAGGCGGTGTGGGGGGTCACACAGCTCCAGGCCTGGGCAGACAAAGATGGCTGAGGCCAAGGCCTCTTGGAGTGCTGCTGTCTGGAGCTGGATCTGGGGGCCGACTGTCACCAGCCCTAGTTGGGGGCCCTGGAACAAACACCAGTGGCCACTGCCTTCCTGAGGAGGGTCCTCAGTGAGTGCCAGAGTGGTTCCCGTGCTGCCCACTGCCCCTCCCTAGGCAGCCCCTCACACTACTCACGAGCTACATAAAGGGCAAGGAAGGCCCCTGCCAAGGTGCCCCGTGGAGAAACCTCAGGGCCAGGAGGGTCTGGAAACCGGCAGCCAGGGCTTCACTGGCCCCTAGGACTGTGGCCAGCACCAGGGAGACCACAAAAACAGCCCGGCGGCCAAACCTGGTGGGCAGGGGGACACATGCTGGTGTGGGTCAGGGTGCACCTTAAAGGCTGGGAGCTAAGGGCAGAGGAAGGGCAGGGTCTCACCTGTCACACCCTGCACCCAGAAGGACACAGCCTAGCAGCCCGCCCAGGAAGTGGCACGTCTGCTCCAGCGGAACCTTCCAGCTATCTTCACACACCAGGTCCCACTGTGGGGAACACCAGCCATTGTGGACCAGCCCAGGACTCTCCCTTGCTGGGGGTACAAGATGCAGGGAGCCCCAGAACCCCTCTCTGGGGACACGAGAGGGCAAGGAACTTGGAAATGAAACAGCAGCTTTTTATGACTCTGGTGGTCTTTGCCTAGAATTGGAACAACCTCTGATTTGAGCCCTCGATGGCAATGCCTTGGGGTCCCCAAGATGCTACATGCAGCCCCAAGTCTGCTGTGGGGGGATCTTCCCGCCCTAAGGTTTTGCTTTTCTCAGAAGTGCCGTCCCACCCTCCCCCACGACTGGCCCTGTCAGCCCTTAAGTGTCCAGTGATACTCAGGGCCTAGGGCCTATGAAACACAACGCCACCTCAGGCCCACGGGCTTCAGCTCTGAAACGGGCTGCACGTCCTGCCCACCCTTCTGCCCTCGCCCTGCCCAGCTCTCAAGTGGAGAGCGCTCAAGGCTTTGCCTTTCCGGCAGCCAAAGGCCCTTGACCTGCTGGGCAGGCCGCCTCCCCTTTCCTCATCCCTGCCTCTTCTCCCCAGGTTAAACAGGCCTGTGGGTCCTGCTAGGCCGTTTTTATTTTAAAACCCCACCCTTCTGAAGGTGAGGGGCATGGATCCATCAGGAGCCAGCAGGAGGGACGCTGGGAGGCGGGGAGCAGAACCCCACCAGTTTCAGGGACCCAGGCAGGCCCTCAGAGATGTGGCCACTGTTCCCTCCCACTGAGACCTCTGCTCCCGGGTGAAGACGGGCTGCCAAGGGGGAGGCGGGCTAGTGGGAAGGGCGCCCCGTTTCCCAAGTGCTCTCACCCAGAACCCTGAGCCCCGCTTGGTCGTGGCCTCCAGGCCAACGCCCACGCGCAGATCTCCCTCTGAAATGAAACCGACTCGCCGTTCCCTCCATTCAAAACCGCCTCTGTTCTGGAAACGCAGTCCCAGCACCTACCTGGCCCAAAGCCATTAGTTGCTCAAAACGAGCCTGGAACTTTGAATTCCAGGCCCGGCTTACCACCCACGCCCACCTGCCCTCGCCTCCAGCCTAAATTCTCCTGCCCGCAGCCCACCCATAGTGGTGGCCAAGAGTCCGGGTATACCTGCTGCACCCGCATGGCGGGAGGGGGCGGGCGGGCCCCCAGTGAGAACCCCGGCAAAGGCACAGGGAGGGACCCGCAGCAGGGCGGAAGACCCCCAAACCACCCACGTCCCTGCCCGCTCGTTCCTGGGCAGACCCCTCGGGCGGGCGCACCTGGGTGACCGGGCTGTGCATCAGGCCGGCGGCGGGGAGCGTATAGAGCCAGCCGCGCGTGCAGGACCGCGTGCCGTTTGGCGCGAGCGCGGAGCTCGGGCGGGCGCCGGCCACCGGGTAGCGCAGGAGCAGGCACGGGCTCAGGGCGCGCGCGGGACCCAGGCGCGGTACGCTGGCATCGAGCAGCGCCGGCCCGCGCAGGGCACGCAGCGAGGGCGGTAGTAGCGCGGGGGGTCTGGACGGCAGTGGTGCGCGGGCCGCGCGGTGAGCAGCGGCTCCGAGCTCAGCGCCAGCCCCAGTGCCACGCAGGGCAGCCACGAGGCGGCGGCCAGTAGGCGCCGAGCCCGGCCGAAGCCTCCTGCCGCGCACAGCACCCGCGCCTCGCGGTCCATGCGTCCTTCGCCGCCGCGCTCCGGCTCCAAGCCGGGGACTGGACCCGGAGAGTCGGAAGCCGGGGAGGAGCCCGCGGGGCGGGGTCGCGATGGGCGGGGCGGGGGCGGGGCCTCCGGGGAGGAGCCCGCGGGGCGGGGTCGCGATGGGCGGAGTCAGGGGCGGGGCCGCCGGGGAGGAGCCCCGGAGGGGCGGGGCTGCGGGGCGAGTGGGTCTGGGCGGGACTGCGGTGGGCGGAGACACGGGGCGGGACCTGGAGCCACTCGCGGGCGGAGCCAGCTCCAGGGTCCTGCTGGGGGCGTGGCCGGCGGGCGCTCAGGTGTGAGCCAGCGCACAGGTGCGCTGGGCCCGGTGGGCGTTCGGACGCGGGCTCCCGCTGAGGTTGCGGGGACCTGCCTTGCGACCAGTGAGCCCGAAAGACCTGGAAGCCGAGGGCGATGTCTGCCCGTTGGCTCTGCGCCGTCCACTACATCTTGGCAGAGTCACTCGTACCTGGGGTAGCGCTGGGCGCCATGGATGCTGCCGCTCCAGGAGCCAGGTAGGGCTTCTTTATTCTTTTTGTTTTTTTAATCTGTAGGTGGACACAATACCTTTACTTTATTTTTGTGTGGTGCTGAGGATCGAACCCAGGGCCTCGCATGTGCTAGACGAGCGCTCCACCGCTGAGCCCCAGCCCCAGCGGCCCCCCCCCCCCCCCCCCCCCCCGCTTCTTTATTCTTAGCTCTGGTTTTTCTCAACAGTGTTTTCTCAACAGTAGATCACAAACTAGTAAAATCTGTAGAATTTTTTTCACGTTTGTTTTCTTTTGCTTTGTGAACGGGCTCTGTGTTTTCATAAAAATTCACAATTGGCTTTTTTTTTTTTTTTTTTTTTTTTTTGGTACAGGGGATTGAACTCAGGGGCACTCTACCACTGAGCCACCACAGCCCTATTTTGTATTTTATTAGAGACAGGGTCTCACCGAGTTGCTTAGTGCCTTGCTGTTGCTGAGGCTGGCTTTGAACTGCTGAACTCCTTCTCAGGGCCACCACACCTGGGCACCTCATAATTGGCATTTTTGCATTTAAAAGAACAACATTAGCTTTTTTTTTTTTTTTCCCCCTTGTGGTGCTGGGGTTTGAACCAGGGTCCTGTGCATGGGAGGCAAGAACTCTACCAACTGAGCTATAGCCCAGCTCTGATAGTAGCTTTTTAAAAGTCTGTGGGAGGAAGGGCTGGGGTTGTGGCTCAGAGGCAGAGTTCTTGCCTAGCATATGTGAGGTGTACTGGGTTGGATGCTCAGCACCACATAAATAAATAAATAAAATTTAAAAAAAAAGTCTATTGGGGTGGAATTCACATAACATAAAGTAAGCACCTTAAAGTGTACAGTTCTGGGATGGGGATGGGGTCCAGTTGGTTTGGTCCTCAGCACAGCAACCACAAAGTAAATCTAAACATCGAAGCAGGCAATCAGTGTCATTTATTTATTTAATTTTTTAAAGAGAGACAGAGAGAGAGAGAGAGAGATTTTTTTAATATTTATTTTTTAGTTCTTGGCGGACACACATCTTTGTTTGTATGTGGTGCAGAGGATCCGGGCCGCACGCATGCCAGGCGAGCACGCTACCACTTGAGCCACATCCCCAGCCCCCAGTCAGTGTCATTTAGTCTTACAGTGTTATCCTGGGCTGTTAGACTCCCCCTCCGCCAGCCCCTGACAAGCGCCAGCTGCTCTGGATATTCCAGTAAATGCAGTCACAGGTCCCGTGGTCTTGTAGGTCTGGCTTCCTCCCGGGGCAGTCAGCACCGCAGTGTTTATGACTGGACATGCTCCACCTTTCCTTATCCGCCCCTGGCTGGTGGACTTGTGGGTTCTTTCCCTTCTGCTTGGCACCAGGTGGCCTGCTCAGCTCTGGTGGGCACACCCCTGGATTGGACTGTGGGGCATGTGGTGATTCTGTTCCAGTCTCTGTGGAGCCTTTTCCTTCTGTTTTGTTGTTTTAGAGTAGTCTTTAATTTTTAAACTGATGGTGAAGTACACATAGCATAAAACTTACCATTTTAGCTACTGTTTTTTTTTTGACATGGTACTGAGGATTGACCCCAGGGGTTTTCTATCTACCACTAAAGCTACGTCTCCAGCCCTTTTGATTTTTTGAGACAGGGCAGAAATTGCTGAGGCTGGCCTTGAACGTGTGAGGGAAACCCTCACCACTCCTCCCCACTGCTGGTGATCTCTGCTCCGCCTTCTGCTGTGCGCTTGCCTGTTCTGGGTGCTTTTCCAAGTGGACTCCTGGAATGTTGGGTCCGAGGCTCCCGCGGGGTATGGTGGCATCGGTCAGCAGCTCATCCTGTTTTGTGAACACCGTGTACTTGGAGCACCTGTTTGCACGAGTGGAATTGCAGGAGTGGAATTGCTGGGTCTTCAGGGAGTGTGGTCAGCTGTTGGAAGGACCCTGGTTTTCACAGCAGCTGCCCTGTTTCCCACCCCAGCATCAGGACACTTCTTTTTTTTTTTTAATATTTATTTTTTAGTTCTTGGCGGACACAACATCTTTGTTTGTATGTGGTGCTGAGGATCGAACCCGGGCCGCACGCATGCCAGGCGAGCGCGCTACCGCTTGAGCCACATCCCCAGCCCCAACATCAGGACACTTCTGCCAGTGCTTTCCTTCCCGGATGTGTGATGCATGTGGTCAGACCCATCATCTCTGAGTGTCCAGGTCAGTGGTGGCAGATGCAGTCACGATGTGCAGCCATTGCCAGGTCAACCTCTGTGATTCTGCATCTTGTGAAATGGGAACCCTCCCTGTTAAGCAGTCACTCCCCTGTCTCCCTCCCTGGCCCTGGTAGCCACCGCTCTACTTCTGATTTGGAAGACTCCGTTTCTTCTACGTGGAACCACCCGTGTCAGTCTTTCTGTGACTGGCTTCTCCTAGCATAAAGTGCTCCAGGTTCACCCAGAGTAGCATGTGTCAGAACTTATTTCCTGTATTTCCCTGTTAGCTGGGTGTGGTGGTGCTCACCTGTAATCCCAGCTACTTTGGAGGCTGAAACAGGAGGACCTTGAGTTCAAGGCCAGCCTGGGCAACACAGCAAGACCCATCTTAAAAAGAGAGAGAGAGAGAGAGAATTTGCTTTTTAAGGTGAAGTGATATTCTGTGACACAGCTAGGCCATGCTTGGCTCGCTCACTGACCAGAGAGTGGACTCTGGTCACTTTCACATTTAGCTATGGCGCTCAAATGCTGCTGGGAACATGGTCACAGATCTCTTCAAGACATTCTTCCTGAGGGTCGTAGTGGCAGATGCCTCCAGAACGAGTGTCCCCAGAGGCTGAGGCAAATCTGAGGCCAGCCTGGGCAACGTGGTGAGACCTGTCCCAAAATACATCAGAGGGCTGGGAGGGGATCGGATCCCGAGGTTCAGTCCCCAGAACTGCCAAAGCCAGTGGGACTCCTCTTTCCAATTCCCGTTGGTGTGTGGACTTCAGCTTTCCGAGGCCCCTCCACACCATCTTCTGCTGCCGCTGAGCCACTTCCTGTTCCCACCAGCTGTGCCCAAGGGCTGCGGCCACCACAGCCTCCGGGCATCATTGTGCAGTCCTCGCAGGGAAGGCTGCTGGTGGGCAGGAGGCGCCTTCAGGTGGTTCTGGTCTGCGTTTCCGAATGTGGCGGCTGGCATCGGCCACCGTGCGTCTTGGCATCTTGTGATTCTTGGAGGAATGTGGACTCAGGATTCCTGCCCGTTTCCAGATGGGATTGTCTGCTTGGTTACCGAGCTTTAGGGATTCTCTGTATGCTCTGGATATTAACCCCTTACCTCCCATTCTCAAGTTGCCTTTTGACTCTTGACAGGGTCTTTGTTTTGTGGTGCTGGGGATGGAGCCCAGGGCCTCCCACCTGCTACCAAGTGCTCCACCTAGCACGAGTACATTCTCAGCCCTTATTTGAGCCTTGCTAAATTGTTGAGGCTGGCCTTGAACTTGTGATCCTCTTGCCTGTCTCCTGAGTTGCTGGGATCTCAGCATGCACCACTGCACTTGGAAAATTTGAGTTTTGTTTTGTTGGTTCTGGGCCTGGAGCCAGAGCCTTTGCATGCTAGGCGAGCCCTCTGACACCGGCTCTCAGCCAGGTGATTTCTGTATGTGGAGTGAGACACGGGTCAACCTAGTCATGTTGCGTGTGGACCGCCACTTCTCTGAAACACGTGGATACCTTCCATAAAACCGGCTTCTGCGTGGTCTCCAGGTCTGTTCCCTGAGTGGGCACCCTCCTGGGGCCTCCCCTGCAGGGTTCTTTCTTTTTGCCATAGCCAGGTGCGGAGTCTTGAAACTGAGGAGTGGGTGTCCCTCGGCTTTGTTACTCTTTTCCAAGACAGCTGGTTTATTTTGGGTACAGGGGATGGAAATATCTTCAGACTATCTTTCAATTTATTTTTAAATTTAAAAAAAAAAAGTTTTTGTCGATGGACCTTTATTTTATTCATTTATTTACATGTAGTGCTGAGAATCGAACCCAGTGCCTCACACATGCTAGGGTGTACCATGCTTCTACTCCATTGGCTAACTTTATTCCTAATTATTTATTCTTTTATTTATTTCCTAAATATCCTTTTCAGATTTTTAATTACTAATATGTAGAAATGTAAC